ATCACTCCTGGTAAGGTTCAAGGGCCCATAAGAGGTGATGGGTATTGAAAGTGGATTCACCACATGCCAGGCAAGCACCTTCCCTGCTGTCTATCTCTATTGCCCTAAAAGAAAGATGTAAAATAAAAGATGAGGTGTATAAAAACTATAAACAATTTCCTACAAAAGAAAATGGGTTTTGCTCTCCTTTTGACAATACGACACTAGTATATTTACTTACTACACTGAGTTTTGTATTTCTTAAAATATTTATGTTGTATAGCATTTTGAACAAGCACAACATCCTGGAAAATATCCATACATGCACATGGGCGTGCACGTGCACGAGCACACACACACACACACACACACACACACACACACACACACATACACAGAATCTGTGGGGAAGTATCATCCCATTTCCTACATTCATTGTTTCAAAGTTGTAGTATGAAATATTGTTAAAATAACATTGAGAAAATGGAGACCATGTTAGTAGTTACTAGGATAAGGCACAGGATTGCCTGTCCTAGTTTTTAAAGCATAACAGGTGTGGCCCTTATGGTGACAGAAATTGACAGGCTGTACCATGGGTATATCGGTGTCACTACTCTAGTTAGGATAGCATGCCATGATTTTGCAAGATCATTTCCATCTCCCCACATTCTTTCTTAAAATTGCATGTGATTATAAACATTCTATCGAAAAGGAAACGTTTGATTTAAAAAATGATAACAGCACTAGGTATCTGAATAAAAAAGAAATTCACGAGTTCATACTCCTATAGTTGACTTTAGGTTGACCTTGCGACCACTCACTACTTTCGGACTAGCCTATACTCCTATAAAGTAACACTGAAGAAATGACAAAACAAACAAACAAAAAAGACTCCAGAGTTTTCTACCCCACAGCAGAAAGCAGAAAAATTTTCTGAAGAAAAACAAAAGAATTAGCAATTCATTATTTTGCATCCATTGGAACAATAATTAATTCATGGGGGGAAGCAATGGGTTTAATAATAGGCATTAAAATTATATGAGGAACAAAATATTTCTTTCAAAATGTTTAAAGAGGGAAGAATGTTTCTTCATTGCCGAGAAACTTGGCAGACACCACCTGACAATAATACAAAGTCTCCATTACCATTAATGGAAATTAACCAACATCAACAAAGGTCACTTGATAGGATTCAGTGTGAGGAACCACAGAAATATCACTGCATTATTTTAAGATAAAAAATAGAGATAAAGATAAATGATATAAGCCAAATCACAAAGAAGTATCACAAAAATCCAAATTAAGGGGCGTTCTACAAAATGTTTGCTCTGTGATAGTTAAATAACAAGGTCATGAAGGTTAAGAAATGATTGATGTCTCCAGAGATGAGTGATCAGTGATCCGAGTTTGGATAAAGGACATTACTAGACAAAGTTACTAAACCATGCATGGGATCTGTATAGTCAGTGGTCGCTTATGTAACAATGTTTATTTCTAGATTTTGATGGTCTCGAAGTTATGAATGAAGTTCATGTCCTTGGCTGTAGGGGTTACACAGTGCATTCAGAGATTATGCATTATTTTAGCACATTAAAAATAATTCAGGAACGTATTCTGTAAATTTAGCAAAGCTTTCTCTAAGTTGGAGATGGTTTCAAAATAAAATTTATATTGACCATAAAAAGACAATGACCATATCCCTGAAGTTAAGAGCTCAAGAGATCACATGCTGTGCCCCATTTTTTTCTTCCGCTTGCAGTGAATAACAAAGTCCACTTGCAGTTAACAACAATGAAAATAGGCTGGTTGAAAATGTAAATATCTAAAACAGAGGTTGGCATAATTCGATAAAGGATCAGATAGTGAAATATTTTACAAGTTTGAGAGGCAGGCTCTGTTGCAACTATTAAGTTCTGCTACTGCAGCACAAAAGAAGCCATGAACAATACATCAACTAATAACTGTGTCTACATTTCAATAAAAATTTCTCTAAGGACACTGAAATTTGAACTTCATATAAATTTCAAATCTTACAAAATAATTTTTCTTCAATCATGAAAACTGTAAACCCTACCCTAAATTCATGTGTTCTTAAAAAAATCTAATTTTAGGGCCAAGGAGATAGCTGAAAGAGTTGGAGTTTAAGCTTTACACGTGGAAGGCCTTGGTTTGATCCCTGGCACCACAAGATTCCCTAAGCACTGCCAGGAGTCTCTTTTAAGCACCATCAAGTATGGATAAAAAGCAAATAAACAACAAAACTGATTTGGCCCATGACCTCAGTTTTTCTATTTCAGCTTTAGATTTTTTAAATGGACTTCAAATACCAGATCACTAAACAGATTTTTAATACATTTCCTCATGTGACTATAAACATTATTCAAGGGAAGAATGAGAGCAAGGCTTATGTACAAAGTCCAAAGGAATGCTACAGAGTTAAGAATACAGATACTTCCTCGGATGCCACAGTCCAAACCTATTTAGACACATTTCTTCCTTTAGATGGGGCCTTAATCCAGGCTCATCTCCATATACAAACAAATGCCAATCCTCCTGAGGATTTGGAGTTAAGCAACGGCTCACTCTGTGTTAAAAACTAAGTAATTTGTCTCAAAAGGTCTTAAAGTAAAAAAAAATTATGCTTACCTTAGCATAACAAACGGACTAAATAAGTATTTCTCCAGATTTGATCTAGCAGGAGCCAAAGTCTAGAAGGAGAGGAAGGGCTAGAAATCACTATCATAAAGTTACATTTCAGAAATTCGGAGACAAATAGAATGGAATAATATAGAAGGAAGATAAAGAATACAATTTTACCAATAATAAATAGGCAAGCAAGAATGAAAAGTCTTAAGACTCAATAAAGGGAGAATGTCATTTGTGTTTTTGAGTCTTGGAAATGATGGCCTCCACAGTTAAAAAAGGCAATGTGAAGAGTAATTAATTTAGGAAAAAGAGATCTCAGTCATTTAATTCCTAAGTTTTAATGAAAGTTCAAGAAGACTCTTCCAGGTAAGTAATCATGGAGTCTTTCACATAAATGAATATTTTACTATCCTTTTCCAAAATCTTAGCAATAGACTGAAAAAAGGGAAGACTACCATAACTTTATAAACTGCTTGGGAGACTTTTTCCATAAGTCACAATAAACTTTTTCACAAAATCATTTTTTTCCAAAAGAAACTCCATCTCAACGGTTACACTGATGTTTCATCTTAAAATCTATCTCTCCTTTCACATAACATAAACTACACCATTTCTTAAATATTGGAAGGCTGGAAAGCAGTTCAAAGCCACAGAAGCTTACAGTGGCTTCACCACCAGAGTTCAGTAGCCTTGTGACAGGGAAGTAAGTAAAAGGAGTTTTCAGAGGGAAGGCAATAGGAAAGCATTGCAAGTCTGAAGATTTCTGAATAGGAGAAACAGCATTGACCAGAAACACACATTAGCAAACACGGATTAAGAATGATTTATTATGGCCCAATTAGTATGCTTTTAATTTCAAATAGTCCATATCTCCTTCAGAATATTATCACATAAGAAAAAAGATCCATGGTCATTTCCTTCATTCCCAATATGAAAATGCTCTGTATTTTATAAAAAAAAAAGTACATGAAAAAACATTTTTTGGCAAACTGGTTCACCACATTCTTTTCACTGTGAACACTTTACAAATACGCCCTCTATTCCAATTCTGACCATCCACTTCAGAGACAACCATTCTTCTGGACATCATTTTCCTAAACATGCTCTGACTTTCCCACATCTCCCATCACTATGACTTCATTGGTTACTTATTTAAAAAAAGGGGTTCAATTGCTAGTTTTCCTGGTCAATACATCAAACTGGAATCCTCTAACATGGCAGCAGTCAACTGGGGTGGGGGTGGTATTTTCCTAATCACATACTGACAGAATCCAGTCACATAAGGGTATACCCAGCCCTGTTGTCTATAGAAGAATCCCAAGATATTTGATATGATAATCCTTTATTCACTTGGCACATTTGATTTCTTTACATTTCTTCAATTCTATTTTACAGTTGTGGCTAGAAAGAGTTGAATAACTGGTTCTTCGAACAAAACTTAGAATTGCTAGAGATATTAATTTAGGATCTCCTATTTGAGATAGTTGACTGTTTCTATTCTACCTTACTATATTATAAAAGTTACTCTTGACAAAAATTACCACAGTATTTCCTCTCTAAAGGTTAAAAAAAAGCAAAAGTTATTTAACTGGCTTTCCTCACAGCTAGGACTCATGCATTGTAGAAGCAGAAAATCTTTTCACAAAAGATAGGAAGAACATTAAAAAAAATTCACATTTTAAAAAAATCCTTCATGGAAATATGTCCTGGGTAATTAATCAATTCCATGGACAAAGTTTTCTATAGACAAAACTGTTATAAGGTTACTCATAATAGTGAAAATTAGAAATAGCCCTAATGGTCTACAAAGATGAGCATGGTAAAATGGATTTGTGTTCATTAAATATGAAAATGGTTTTGCAAAAATTTCAAGGCCATAATAAAATGTGGCTATTCCATAGTGGAAAAAATTTATTTATAAAAATGCTTGTAGTATGATCCTAATTGCATAAAATGGTATAGGATATACATATAGGGATGTACAGGGGGAAGCTATTAATGGTGGTTACTGGGGTGTGTTATCAGTTATTATTTTTCTGTTTACTACATTTCTGAGTTTTCAAGATTTTTATAATGAATGTGTATTATTTTATGATACAGGAAACAAGGCTATTAAAAATTCTCTGATGTGGGCTGGAGTGATAGCACAGCGGGTAGGGCGTTCGCCTTACAAGCGGCCAACATGGCCGACCCGAGTTCGATTCCTCCGCCCCTCTCGGAGAGCCCGGCAAGCTACCGAGAGTATTTGATACGCCAAACATAGTAACAACAAAGTCTCCAATGGAGACGTTACTGGGCCCGCTCAAGCAAAAATTAGAATTAAATAAAATTAAATTTAAAAAAAAAAAAAAAAAAAAAAAAAAAAAAAAAAAAATTCTCTGATGTGATTAAAAAGTTCATTAAGTATGATAAATATATGGGAGCAATATTACTATGCATTACCTTTTATAGACTTTTAGAGTACATATTCTTTTGGTAATATTTTACATTCATTTCCTATTTTATATTTGCCACAATGCTTTAACAAAAAATGGTAATAATGTGATTAGACTAATGTCTGATTCATAACCTAAATGAACACTGGTCTTAACATCTAGGTTCTTCGATTTCCTAGAAGATTTAAAATTAATACTCTATTATCTTTTTTAAGGCATATTGCATTCATACAATACATGCATGCTTTCTAAAAGGATTTTTTTTAATTTACAGTTTTCTGATGTAAGGGAAAATAGAGTTATGACATTTTAGAAAAAGTTTATATTGTTATCATCACAAGCATGCTGATCGGTATAAACAAGTTTATTAAATGAAACATAACCATTAAAAACAAGGGAAGCATGTCTGTAAATGAAGTAAGAGATTCAACTGGTCAGAATTCATTCTGACTGTACCAAACCACAAAGGAATCTTTTGAAGTCTAGTTAGTGTCATCTAAATGTGCACTGCAGAGTCTATGTGTAAATTCCATTGCAAAATCTCCACTTGCTACTTCCAAAAGGATCAGGATGAGGGTTCTCACACAAACTAGCGTCCAATACATATCAAGTCTTGTGGGGGTCTAGGAACAAATACTGCCATTGGTTAGTGTTTTAAGTACATGAGTTTATCTTTCCTCTCTTTCTCACACCCAACCTTGCCCTGGCATTCAGGTCGGGGAAGACTATTCAAATGTCAATCCATGATGTCCGGCTTCTTCTCTTAGTTTCCTTCTACACCACAGAGTGGTCATTGCTGTGGACTCCAGCCAAGATAGTGTGGTTGAGGGAGGAAGCTGAGCGGTCAGAGCCTTCTGTGGGGCCACTGGCGTTCTCATTGCGCTGGCAACAGAGGATCTGCCTGAAGGTGGCGCTCATCTCCTTGTCGCGGTAGGAGTAGATGATGGGGTTCATGGCAGAGTTGAACTCAGCAAGCAGAAGGAAGAACTTTTCATAAGCCAGAACATCACATTGCTGACAGCACACATCAAGAAGTAACAAGACCAATCCAGGAGTCCAGCAGATGATAAAGGCGCCTACATGAATATGGGTAGAGATCAAGAAAATGGAAAAAAAATAAGAAAGAGAACAAAAGATAAGCATAATTACGAAATGTGTAGTCAAAAACTATAATGATTTAAATGTAACAGAAAAATATTGAATTCAAAATCATCAGATTTTCTGAAATCTGAAATAAAATTTTTATTTCCTGGAATAAAAACAGAACAATGCAACAATTAGTTTAATAATACCTTGTTAATTCAGATCCCATTAAAATGACACTGATGATCTCTTTGAGCAAAACAATTTGCTAAGCAACCAAGAGACAGAAATTACATTCAGGATGGATACACATTTTGTAACTTACAAAAATAGGATATTAAGTAGCATGAGATTGTTTTCAAGCAAATTTCACCATGGCAAACATCTGTTTAGCTAAGGCACAGTTTCAGTTTTCAAGCTGACTGCCTTATTTTCTTGGCTTATATTTTAGTAAAATTGATAGAGAGCATTCTTTCAGAAAGTCAACTGTGATTTAAAATACTGTAAAATGATCATCTGTCTCATAAACCTAAACAGTTATCAGTACATAGTTAAATGTTTTTCCCCTTGTGATGAGAACCTTTAAGGTTTACCCTCTAACAATTTACAAATATTTAAATCAATATTGTTAACTATAGACACCGTGCTGTAAATTATCATCCTAGCACTTATTTACTTTATGAAAAGTTTGCATCTTTTGACTCCTCCCTACGTCAATCACCAATTTATTCTATCTATGAATTTTGCTTGTTTGCTTTCATTGTTTTTTTTTTTATGTTGTTGGGCAAATGTATCTTACATTTTCTTTATCCATTCAACCAATGACTATGACTAACACGGAAATAAGTATAGAGATGGTAGATACTAATTTGAGTGTTTGAATTTCCTTTGGAAAAATAACCAGAAGTACAACTCTGTTTTTGTTTTTGTTTCGTTTTCTTTTTCTTTTTCTTTCTTTTTATTTGAGGAACCTTCGCACTGCTTCCTATACTGAGGCTGCATTAATTTACATTCCAACCAGTATCTCAGCTTTCCTTGTCTCTACAGCCTTGACGGGGCGGGCTGGAGCAATAGCACAACAGTAGGGCGTATGCCTTGCGTGCAGCTGGCCTGGCTGAGTAAGGTTCGATTCCTCCGCCCCTCTCGGAGAGCCCGGCAAGCTACCGAGAATACCTCGCCCGCATGGCAAAGCCTGGCAAGCTACCCATGGCATATTCAATATGCCAAACACAGTAACAACAAGTCTCACGATGGAGACGTTACTCGGCCCGCTCGAGCAAATCCATGAACAACGGGAGGACAGTGCTACAGTGCCTTGACAACACTTGCTTTCTTATAGTCTTGATAATAGCTACTACAGCAGATAAGAGGTGATAATTCAGGTGAAATGACTTCTCTTTACAGTCTTGGCTTTCATTTCCTTGGCAATTAGTGAAACTGAGCCCCTTTCTGATATACCTGCTGGTCATTTGCATGTCTTATGGAAAAATGTCAGTTCAGACTCTGCCAGTTTGCGAGTGGATTTTTTTTTTATCTAGAGCAATGTGAATTTTAAAATGAAACCCAATCATGAATAGCTTTGAAATGGTCTATCTCATAATGATGCAACAGGTTTTTTAAATAATAGGATGTTACATCTATACTATATTTTAAAGATTTTTCTCATATATATTAAGTTGCCCTTTTATTTTGTTGATAATCTATTTTGCTATGAAGAAGCTTTATAGCTTGATGTAGTCCCACTTGTTTGTTTTTTTTTGCCTTGGATGTCCTTGATTTTGGTGTCAAGTCTATTTTTGCCTTTGATATCTTTGATTTTTGTGTCAAGTCCAAGAACTATGTGGAGAAGCTGACTGTCTATATTTTCTTCTAGAAGTTTTTTTGCTTTCAGACTTTAACCTATTTTGAGTCCATTTTAATAGGTTGTATAGGATCGTAGTCTGGTTTCAATTTATTGCATGTGTCTTTCCTGTTTTCTTAAAACCATTTATTTAACAGGCTGTTTTGCCCTACTGTTTATTCTTGGCACTATGCCATTAATTGACCATAAGTGCATGGAAATTTGATTCTTTTCATTGATGTATATGGTTTTTATCCCCACCAACACCATACTATTTTGATTACTACAAGTTTGTAATAAAGTTTGAAAATAGGGAATGTGATGTATTTAGCTTTAGAATATATATAATTTCATTTATTGATTTTGTATTCTTTATAGCACAGCGGGTAGGGCGTTTGCCTTGCACGCAGCCAACATGGCCGACCCGAGTTCGATTCCTCCGCCCCTCTCGGAGAGCCCGGCAAGCTACCGAGAGTATTCGATATGCCAGACACAGTAACAACAAAGTCTCCAATGGAGACATTACTGGGCCCGCTCGAGCAAATCGACGATCAACGGGAGGGCCTTTAATCTTATTGAATTTATTCTAGTAGTCTTTTGGTAGTAATGGGATAATAATATGTCATTTGCAAACACAGTTTCACTTATTCGATTCTGATTTGGGTATCTCTTATTTCTCTTTCTTGACAAATTATTCTGGTTGGATCTTCCAGAGTTGTGTTGAATAAAAGTGGTGAAAAGAGCATCTTGTCTTGCTTCTGATCTTAGGAAAACAGCACACAGCATTTCACCATTGAGTATATTGGCTGTGGGTCATATATAGTCATGATTGTGTTAAAGTTTGTTCCCTTTACACTAATTTTGTGAAGAGTTTTTATCATAAAGGGGGACTGAATTTTGTCAAATACCTATAGTCAAGTAGCTTTATCTTTAATTAACTTAATGTGGCACATTGACTGATATGCAGGTATTGAAACATATGTGGATACCTAGAATTATTCTTACTTGGTCCTACTGCATGAGTCTTTGAATGTATTGTTGAATTTGGTTTCTAATGTTTTGTTGAAAGTATCTTCTTGTAATTCTCTTTTCATCTTGTGACCTTGTCTGCTTTGAGTATCAGATCAAAGTGAGATTGTAAATTTAGTATGGAAGCATTTTCTTCATGTATATATTTTGGGAAGGATTTCAGAAGAATTGGATTCAGTCTTTAAATGTTTCATAGAATTCACAGTGTTGACATCCTTGGCTCTTGTTTGTTGGAAAGTTTTGGTTATTTCTTCAATCTCCTTGCAGGTAATTTGTGTGTTCATAAGTTTTATTTACTCATTGACTAGTATTTGTAGAATGTGTGTTTCCAAAAATTTATCTATTTGTTGTAGGTTTTCAAATTTGTTAATATATAATTTTCATTATATTCTCATTTGTACTATTATAGTTCTGTAGTATAAGCTATAATAACTCTTCTTACAATTCTGATTTTGAACTTTTTTGTCGTTAGTCTACCTAAAATTTGATAAATTTATCTTGTAAAAGAACCAGATGATAATTTCACTCTGGCAAATAACTTTCTTATCTGAATTTTCTCAATTGAAAAATAATGTGGTTTTATTTATTTCATTGGGTTTGTTGCAAAGATGAAATGAGTACTAAGAACAAAAACAACCAGTGTGATGTGGATGTGGGGAGAAAGGGACTCTCATTAATTGTTTTTGGGAATGCTGACTGGTCTTTTCAGAAAACAATATGGATGCTCCACAGAAAGCTAGTAATTAAACGCCCATATGACTCAGCAGTAACACTTCTGGGAATTTACTCTGAGGCCCCAAAACACACAGAAGAAACACGATTAGCACTTCTATATTCACTGCAGCACTGTCCACAACAGACAGAACCTGAAAATAACCTGAGTGCCCAAGAACAGAGACTGCATAAAGATACTATGTTTCATCTACAGAATGGAAAACTACGCAACCACCAAGAAAAATGAAGTGATGAAATTTGCTTATAAGTGGACAGAAATGGAGAGTATCATGCTGAGTGAAATGAGTCAGAAGAAGAGGGACAGACATAGAATGATGGCACTCATTTGTGGAATATAAAAAAATAGTATGAGACTAATACCCAACGAGTGCAGAAACAAGGCCTAGCTCATGGTTGGAAGACTGGTATGGAGGGCAGGGGAAGGCTGCTGTGGGGGAACAGGGGAAGGAAATTAGGATAGAGAAAGATCACTATGACAATGATAGTTGGATCTGATCACTCTGGACAAGAACTGGGTGCTGACATGAAAACCTTGAGGAAATGGATAAATTCCTAGACTCCTACAGACTCCCAAGGCTGAACCAAGAAGACCTGGAATACCTGAACAGACCTATCACCATAAAGGAAATTGAAATGGTAATAAAAAGTCTCCCCAAGCACAAAAGTTCCGGCCTGGATGGATTCACTAGTGAATTCTTCCAAATCTTTAAGAGGACTTACTCCCAATCCTCTTTAAGCTTCTCCACGAAATTGAAATATCAAAAACACTTCCAAACAGTTTCTACGAAGCAAATATTACCCTGATACCAAAAGCAGACAGAGATACCACAAAAGAAAGAGAATTACAGGCCAATATTCCTGATGAACACAGATGCAAAGATCCTCGACAAACTACTAGCAAATAGAATCCAACTACTCATCAAAAAGGTCACACACCATGACCAAGTAGGATTCATTCATCCCAGAGATGCAAGGATGGTTTAATGTTTGGAAATCAATCACCAAAATCCATCGTATCAACAAAAGAAAATATAAAAACCATATGATCATATCAATAGATGCAGAGAAAGCATTTGACAAGATCAAGCACCCCTTTATGATGAAAAACCTAGCCAAAATGGGTATAGGGGTGACTTTCCTCAAGATAGTTAAAGCAATCTAACACAAGCCTACAGCAAGCATCATCCTCAATGGGGAAAAACTGAGAGCCTTCCAACTAAGATCAGGGAAGAGACAAGGATGACAACTCTCTCCACTGCTGTTCAATATAGTACTAAAAGTACTTGCAATAGCGATTAGGCAAGAAAAAGTTATTAAGGGCTTTCAGGTAGGAAAGGAAGAAATCAAGCTCTCACTATTCGCAGATGATATGATACTATACTTAGAGAA